AAAAAAAGTCATCACACTGGAAAAAACTTTCCTGAGATGGCTTATTCTGTTTAGGGAACAAATCTAGCACTTGAAAAGGAAAAAAAAAGTCATCAGACTGGAAAAAACTTTCCTGATATGGCTTGTTCTGTTTAGGGAACAAATCTAGCACTTGAAGCGTGGACTAATCCAGAGACTCAGTGAGCTACCAGAAATGCAATGAGTAGAAATAAAAGGGAGACAGGATCAGAAGGGAGAGAGTTCAAGGAGGGTAACAAAGCGTGAACTAATCCAGAGACTCAGTGAGCTACCAGAAATGCAATGAGTAGAAATAAAAGGGAGACAGGATCAGAAGGGAGAGAGTTAACGTCTCAGCTGTCACAGACAGCGGAATCAATCGCAATTACAGAGACACTGCACCTGTAGCATAGATTTCAAGGAGGGTAACAAGGAGAGCCACCTCCTCAAAAGACTCGGGCACATCCATGAAATCAGCCAGCCCGAGAAAAATGATGCCCATGTCTCTGGGAGACAATAAGGGACAGCTCAGTTTTCAAGGGGTATGTGGCTATAAGTTGTTTTGTTTCAGATTTAATATGGGTATTCTAGACACTGGCTCCAAGTCCTAGCAAGCTCGACTACACACCCTGCTACAGGCCCCGCGTCCACTGGCTTTGCACCTGCTCTTTCCTTGACAAAGACCCTGAAGACAATTTGTCCTGACCAAATGACAGCCTTTTCGTACTGGCAGGTGGACAATACTGAAGAATTTGCACATTCACACCCTCTGAATACAATGCTCTCTATCTAAGTCCTTACAGTTCCTCTACTGAGCAATGCTTGGCCAATCCATAATATCATTACTTTATAAGCTGGGTAATGGAAGTACATTTTTTAAAGACTAGCATGCCACAGTTTTTAAATTTCATGACAGACCAGAAGTATAACAATTTTTAATATACTCATAAAATACAAGGCTTCCAAGAATAGCGTTCTAAAAATGCTAGGGTTGAAAGGAAGACAGAAAGTCTTCTATATATTGTAAATATGAAAGAGCAGAGACCTGCAACCTTAACTCATTTTAACTGCTGTTGTCCTCTGGTAACAACAGGAAGAAGTCTGAGTTTTACTGAAAACGAAATAAAGAATTGCTTTTTTTTTTTTTTGAAAATGCATCTTTATGCTGAGTTTGCAAAAGTAAAACCTGTGATCTCGAAGCGTATTTAACTAATGAAAGATTATCCTAAATGAATAAAAGAACCTTATTTCTTATGCGCTCCTTTTTGGATGCCATGTCATCACACTTGTCCTCTTTACCCAGTTTGTCTACTGCCTCCACAGTGAAGCTGTAGTTGTAGTTCCCTTTCTTTCCTCTGTCTGGGTTGTATCCTTTCCCCCATTTCAGCTCTTCTTCATTCCTTCTCACAAACTTGTCAAACTCATAGTGAGCTCTATGCTTTCTGCCATCATCCAATCGATACCTTTGTCTTTCAGGTTCTTTTTCTCGAAATCTTCTCTCCAAATCTCTTTGCTCTTTGTCACTATCATTTTGTGACCTAAGAGTACGTATAAAAAGAAAGAAAATCCAAGCAATTAACAGTAATTAAAAGCTGCTGAAGGATACAAATGCAAAGCCTTCCTTTGAATTCAACAGTGTTTAGATCAATTGTATGGCAAGGCTGTTTTCCTTCTCATTAAAATGGGGTTATGTGCAAACTTGCTCTATGTCTCATCCATGTATATCCGGCCCTTGACTAAGCATCAGCTCAAAACAGCAGAGAAAGCTTTACAAGCAAAATTGGACTGACTTTTGTGCAACTGTTGTAGAAGGCCCGTTCTTCAGCTTTTATCCCTCTTTGCAATCCCATAAAATAGTTCCCCAATACTCTTCACATAAACACGTGCTGCTTGATCAGCTCTTGTGGCTTGAGGTGACTCACGTCAATGAGTATTGCTTTGAACAGGACATTCAGGGCCCAGGGGAGTTGTGCAGGTATCATGTATCAATTTGTAAAGTTTTATGACTCTATTTAACAAAAATTATTCACTGATACTGCAACTCACGGAAGACATTTGTGAAAATGAATACTTATGTTCCAGGTTTTTGTTTATTGTATCTCCAAGTAATTTAGCCTACCTTTGCATATTTTATTTAGGTGAAAGACCTTTACCTTACCACAACATAATACTTAATTTCTGCTATGTGCAATGGGTTTATATTATAAAGACTATTAGTTTGCAACATTTTGCTGCCTGTCTGATACAATTTTCAGCTCTCTTATTCACTTCACTGTTCCCGTTCAGCAAGCGGGTGCTTCTCTCATACAGCCAAACTGCAAATAATGAAGAAAGATGACAGAACAGATTGAGCTTTAAAAGAAGCAAATACAGGCAGTTTCTTTTTATATATTACATATGTATAAATACTTGAAATTGAAACAGGAAAGTTGCTTTTGACAGTCTGCTCCTATTTTGGGAATCAGCAGACAGAATCAGAGAGGATGGAGTTTTTCTAATGGTGTAGTGATCAAATAGTGATACGCTTCTCATTTAGAATGGTTTAGTATCAATAAAAGTGTATCTTTCAATATCACTTTCGTTTTTTGTTTTTAAATAAAAGAACTGTGAAAATTGCCAGCCTCTGCCATGAACTTGGGCATTGGTGGAACTGCCAAGACAAGGGAAGAGCTGGAGGTCAGCAACAAAACCCGAGTGACAGGTAAATCACTGAGCATTTCACAAGAGTGTGCTTGTGTCAGCAGAACACATTGGCCAAGTGGCAGCAACGTCTCAGCTGTCACAGACAGCGGAATCAATCGCAATTACAGAGACACTGCACCTGTAGCATAGATACATATATAAAAAATACTATTTCAGTTTTCAAGGGGTATGTGGCTATAAGTTGTTTTGTTTCAGATTTAATATGGGTATTCTAGACACTGGCTCCAAGTCCTAGCAAGGAGCACGACCTTCCAAAATGCCACAGAGAGACATCTCAGTTTGTTGCTGCAGCATTGCCTGGTACCTGTCTCTTGCCCTGCCTGTTACTGTGGGTGAGGAAGGAGTGGATGTGCCTGTAGGCAGGCAGGTGACAGGGATACAAACTCCACTTCAAGAGTGATTAGAGTAACTTTCTAAAATTCAGTCACAGCAAACAGGCAGGCAGGAGTGGAAAAAGCAGGGTAAGCAATTACAAAGTATAGGCAGTAGAGAAAGTTACAGAGCCAGAGAAACAGAGAGCAGAAGTGAATGGAGGAATAGGGAATGGAAGCATACTTCTGCTTGGTATAGTTTCAAATCTGGATGTGACCAGGTACACTAACGCATCTGCTGAGGTGTTAATTTGTGGCAGAAAGCTATTGCTATTCAGCCTTTAAACACGGTTTCAAAAAGGCAATTCAGTCTCCTGCACACAGAGTTGGAAGTTACAGTTTATTACTGATTTCTAAGTCAGTGACAAAGTAGTTACCAGTTTAATTCTTGATTCCGCCGAAATAGCTTATAGCTTGCTAGCTAATCACACCCACTAATAATCATGATGAAATGAGCACTTGGAAAGACAAATTAACACTTACTATACCCACATAGCCAGAAGTATTCTGGTTGACACCTGGAAAATCTACATTAATGCCTTATTATGCTTGCAGGATCAAGAGTAGAAATGTTATATGGCACACCAAAGGCTTAATACATAAGAAGCCTTATTAGCAAACAATTGCCTTGCCCCTGCAAATGTTTCTGTTGCCCCTGTTCTGTTTCCTTTGTTGAAGAACATCAATGAAAGTGTTGCTGAATATTTTCAATTTCCATTAAAGAATAGGAAGTGGAATTTCCTATTAGCATCTTTCAGGACACACTCAACAGACTGAACACAGAGCCCACGTTTGAAGTCCTTCGTCAGAGACAAAAAAAGATTAATAATGCATGTAGGATATTACTGGTGAACCATTTCTTCAATTAGCAAATTTAGTGTTTTTATTTTCCACTGTTCAAAGTTACTATTCTTTATTTTTCTATTTGCCAGTAGGAGAACATTTGCAGCTTCTGCACACTTTTCATAAAAATCAAGAATTGAAGTGGACAAAGGTAAAAATTAAACTGTTCAGAACAGGCAGGTAGCCTGCAAGGCTCCTGCAGCAAATGCCAAACTTCCTCTAATACTGTGTATATAATACCTTAGGTAGATTATTTTAATGCTCAAGATTGTCCTTATGTACAAGCTGCACATACACATGACATCTGAGATTCGGCTCTTTCCTTTTGCAAAGTACTTTTGAGAAGTTGGCTGAAAAGTCTAATGAAGAATAAACTATTATTTACCTCAGCAGCTTGTTATTCTTCGTTATGTCTCTTTCATATCTTATGGGTGAATCCTGCTTCTGATGGGACACACGTGCCAAAGGACAAGAGACAGAACCAGCTGCTGAAAACACCTCTAAGACATTTCCAGGCTACAGTAGTTATAGAACTATCTAGAAGTATATATACTTCTTGTTTCTACTATTACATGTGCAACACAAAAGGAAGTGGGAGACAGAGACAGCTTCCTGCACCTGTCTGTCATAAGACTGTCATTCCCACCTTAACTACTCTCCCATTGTCCCATTTATCAAACACATTTATCTGTTTATTGCAGCAAAAATGAAGGAAGTATGATGGAAGAGTAATTTAGTCTTTGACACCAGTAATGGAAGGAGGGCCTTACCTGAGCTCTTGATGGGGAGCAGGTGCAATAACAATGAAACTCTGAATGACTTTTCATGCAAAAATCCTTCCAGCCTGGGATTTCAAAACGTTTCACAAATAACAAATTGCATCCACTAATACTGCCATCAGGTCAGTAAGTTGTTAGTAAACACCTTTTACAAAAAGGACAGTGAGAGATTTGTTCACACACACAGAATGAAGTCAGTTCCTTGCTGACAAAACACCCAGCCAATGCACCACTTATATCATGCTTAAGCCTTTAAATAAAAACATTTAGGATCTAATTTGGAGCCTAAAAGATAAATATTACTTACTTTTCCTTAAGTTCTTTTAGTGAACCCTCCAATGATTTGGATTTTATACTCCCAGATCCAGGTGATTTATCCCATTTGTTTTCTTCAATGTCAGCTTCTTCACCTTTATACAGCAAACAGGCAGGCAGGAGTGGAAAAAGCAGGGTAAGCAATTACAAAGTATAGGCAGTAGAGAAAGTTACAGAGCCAGAGAAACAGAGAGCAGAAGTGAATGGAGGAATAGGGAATGGAAGCATACTTCTGCTTGGTATAGTTTCAAATCTGGATGTGACCAGGTACACTAACGCATCTGCTGAGGTGTTAATTTGTGGCAGAAAGCTATTGCTATTCAGCCTTTAAACACGGTTTCAAAAAGGCAATTCAGTCTCCTGCACACAGAGTTGGAAGTTACAGTTTATTACTGATTTCTAAGTCAGTGACAAAGTAGTTACCAGTTTAATTCTTGATTCCGCCGAAATAGCTTATAGCTTGCTAGCTAATCACACCCACTAATAATCATGATGAAATGAGCACTTGGAAAGACAAATTAACACTTACTATACCCACATAGCCAGAAGTATTCTGGTTGACACCTGGAAAATCTACATTAATGCCTTATTATGCTTGCAGGATCAAGAGTAGAAATGTTATATGGCACACCAAAGGCTTAATACATAAGAAGCCTTATTAGCAAACAATTGCCTTGCCCCTGCAAATGTTTCTGTTGCCCCTGTTCTGTTTCCTTTGTTGAAGAACATCAATGAAAGTGTTGCTGAATATTTTCAATTTCCATTAAAGAATAGGAAGTGGAATTTCCTATTAGCATCTTTCAGGACACACTCAACAGACTGAACACAGAGCCCACGTTTGAAGTCCTTAGTCAGAGACAAAAAAAGATTAATAATGCATGTAGGATATTACTGGTGAACCATTTCTTCAATTAGCAAATTTAGTGTTTTTATTTTCCACTGTTCAAAGTTACTATTCTTTATTTTTCTATTTGCCAGTAGGAGAACATTTGCAGCTTCTGCACAGTTTTCATAAAAATCAAGAACTGAAGTGGACTGACAAAGGTAAAAATTAAACTATTCAGAACAGGCAAGTAGCCTGCAAGGCTCCGACGGCAAATGCCAAACTTCCTCTAATAGTGTGTATATAATACCTTAGGTAAATTATTTTAATGCTCAAGATTGTCCTTATGTACAAGCTGCACATACACATGACATCTGAGATTCGGCTCTTTCCTTTTGCAAAGTACTTTTGAGAAGTTGGCTGAAAAGTCTAATGAAGAATAAACTATTATTTACCTCAGCAGCTTGTTATTCTTCGTTATGTCTCTTTCATATCTTATGGGTGAATCCTGCTTCTGATGGGACACACGTGCCAAAGGACAAGAGACAGAACCAGCTGCTGAAAACACCTCTAAGACATTTCCAGGCTACAGTAGTTATAGAACTATCTAGAAGTATATATACTTCTTGTTTCTACTATTACATGTGCAACACAAAAGGAAGTGGGAGACAGAGACAGCTTCCTGCACCTGTCTGTCATAAGACTGTCATTCCCACCTTAACTACTCTCCCATTGTCCCATTTATCAAACACATTTATCTGTTTATTGCAGCAAAAATGAAGGAAGTATGATGGAAGAGTAATTTAGTCTTTGACACCAGTAATGGAAGGAGGGCCTTACCTGAGCTCTTGATGGGGAGCAGGTGCAATAACAATGAAACTCTGAATGACTTTTCATGCAAAAATCCTTCCAGCCTGGGATTTCAAAACGTTTCACAAATAACAAATTGCATCCACTAATACTGCCATCAGGTCAGTAAGTTGTTAGTAAACACCTTTTACAAAAAGGACAGTGAGAGATTTGTTCACACACAGAGAATGAAGTCAGTTCCTTGCTGACAAAACACCCAGCCAATGCACCACTTATATCATGCTTAAGCCTTTAAATAAAAACATTTAGGATCTAATTTGGAGCCTAAAAGATAAATATTACTTACTTTTCCTTAAGTTCTTTTAGTGAACCCTCCAATGATTTGGATTTTATACTCCCAGATCCAGGTGATTTATCCCATTTGTTTTCTTCAATGTCAGCTTCTTCACCTTTATCTTTGTGCTTTTCACTGGCCAGCTCATCTCCTTTTTCAGGCTTCTTAAGAAGCTAAGAAATATTTGGCTTTATTATGATGTAAAATTATTCTCCTCGGTTGTAACAGACATTTTAACAATGTGTTAAAAATATCAAAAACATGTTAAGATTGAAGATATTTAAATGCTAGGAATATGTTTTAAGAAGTATAAAATTTTAAAAGTTATTTAAAGCGGGTAGTTTACTTTTGCTAAGGAGTGACAGTCATTAGCAGGCATTCGTTATTTAATGTGGGTAGTTTACTTTCGCTAAGGAGTGACAGTCATTAGCAGGCATTCGACTGCACACTTTTAAATATGCTGAGAACACTGGAGAAAGCACTTACCTACTCTTCTCTCCTAAACTTTATGTATAAAGATACTGTTATGGTCTATGATTTCTTAGGAATCATGTAACAGAGCTCAATGTTATTGCCAATAAAATATAGCACAAAATATACTCGCCCAAGTGAATCCATAAAAAGCACATCTATTCAGATTATTAGGCAGCACAGCCTGAAATTAGCAAGACTTTGTTAGAACTTGGTTAAAGCACACTATTAAAATACATCAGTTCTGACCATAAGCACAAAAAAGATCTCAGCACATATGGCTGAATGAAGATTTACATGACAGAAAGTATATTTGCAATACCCTTCAGACACGTTAGCACAGAACAATTCGGTTCTGTCTGCACAGAATGTGGCAGTGTTGTATTTTGAGTTACCTGCCGTAACTGCATTAGCACATCATCATACCTGAGGCAATTAGTCACACTTTTCAACAACACTATTTAGTCAAAGCCCGAAATTACTTCCCCTTCCAGTCACAACTGGTTTGGTATCGCCACACTGTACTGTAGTACATTGCATAAACAGTGTAAGTGAGGTATCAAAGGAACGTCTGGATAACTTCAACAGAAAAATTGGGATTCTTTCAATAAGGTACCTTGATCCTTATTTCTTTTTCAGAAATCTTCTTTTGCTTCTCCAGTTCTTTTCTTTTACGTCTTTCCTCTTCTCTGCGCTTCCTTTTCTCTTCCTCCCTCAGACGTTTCTTCTCCAATTCTCTCCGCCTTCGTTCTTCTCTTTTTTCTTCTCGTATTCTCTGAAAAGTTCAAAATGATTAATTGTAAATTGTCCAACGGAAAACCATGTGAAACATAAATGTTGAACTTCAGGCAAAAGTCTGAACGTACCTGCTTTTCTAATTTTCTATTTTTAATATATTCCAAAAGGGGTGTTGTTCTTCTAGCTAAAACACAAAAAATTTGTGATATAGTGTTCAACTCCTAAAATATGTACTCATTTCTTCACTTTAGTACTAACTCCTTTTTTCTAGCTTTTCTCTGTAAGGGAGCCAAATAATTAATAAAAGAATTTGTTTTATATATTTTTGAAGGCATTCCCATCATTCTGCTTTAGAAAAACGTTGTTCCTTTTTTGCCTTTAGGCTTAGAAGCAACAGAGTTTTCTTGCATAGCTATTTAACGTTTAATTAAAAGCTTATCTTTTCAGTTCAAGAGAATGGCTTTTTTCTCTTGCCCATCAAACGGTTATTTCACCAAAAAGGAAAGAAATGTGTTCAGAATCTATTACTACATTTCCATTTTGTACATCAAAACCTAGCTATATTGCTGCTCATTCACATTACTGTAATCTCACATAGCACTTTTCAATCCCAGATTTCAAAGTACATCATGAAGGAAACATTTTCATTCTCATACGACATTTCCATTTAACTACCATTTAGCATTCTCCTCCCGGGGGAAGACAGAGTGAATAAGATATAAGTGGTTTGTCCCAGGTTACATTACGTAGCAAAGTATCAGCAGATTCAATAAAACTCTGGCTTCCCAAATAACAAATAAAATGCATAATCTACTGGATCACACAGTCATTCTTATGTTACAGAGCCATCTCCATACTCCGAAATCTAGCCTAAGTCACCTGCCTGAACTATCCCCAAATTCTACAAAAACTTGAACATAATCAAATCCTGTATCGTGTATAGATAGCATTCATGACTGTCAGTACTGAATTCAAAATTGAATTCATGTACTCACACCTGTGAGCAGTTACAACAAATTTTATCAGTCTTAGATGTCCCAGGATAGTGTTACACAAAATGTTTACTACTAGAAATTGCTCTACAGTTATGTATAGGATTCTTCCTCAAACCAGAAGAAAATGTCACTACTGGAATGCATGACAAGATTTGGAAGAAAAAAAATAAAAGGAAGAAATAAAAAAAGTTGTCATCAAATTTGAAATGGCGTAGCCAAAATCTAGACACAATTCATATCCCAAAAATATTTGAATATTTTTGCCTTGAAAGTGTGATATCCTGTGGGCTACCCATTCATTAATAATAAAACCCTGTTAGGCAGTTATGAATGGAAGGCTTGATAGTATTCAATATTTATTTTTAGCAAGTATCACTGTTCAAAAGCAACAACCAAAAAAAGATTCTTGATTTGTGATCTTCCTCCCTCTATCTCTAATCCCCATGCTACCCCACACCTCTCTCTCCCAGCTGCCCAAAATTTTTGACATTTTTTAGGTTCCCAGCACCTTCCCTACCAGTCTCTCAGCTCTGCAGCTCTGCCTCTCTCTCCTGCTCCTCTAAGTTCCTCTGCCTGAGAAGTGTCCACCTCTGGGCACTTTTACATACTGAAAGTGATCACAAATTGTAACTGGAGGGACCAGGTAAAGGATAAGCTGTACTCAAGAGTACAGAACGTGACCTGAGTCATGACTAAGGCTGTGATGCAACAGGTTTCATCAGAAATTGTAACTTGAAGTTCAAGGGAGAAAGGCAGTGTGATGAGTACTATCAAAAGAGGAGGGCAAAAGAGAATGTTTATCAAACCTGCATCTTGCCCATCTTACTTATGGGCCTTACTGCAAGTAAAAATCTAAGAGTTTTCTCTTAAAATGTTTAAGACATTTTAAAAGAAAATAAATTACAAAATGAAGGTCTGTGTCAGTGATAACTTTTGTATTTTATCTTGCTCTCCACAGTAACACTACCCAGAGAAATGCTAAGCGTGAGGGCCAATTCTGCCAACAAAGTCCTGGGCATGTCCTTCCATTGACTTCAGCAGGAGTAACGCCTTTGAAACCAGACATACAACTAAAACCTTGCATAATTTTCCTATAAATTCCTATTACTTCAGCTATTCACTGAAGTAATCTTGTTTTGTATATTGATAGCAACGGCCACAGTTCTGAATAGCAGAAAAAATAAAGCAACTATTTTGATTTCCTGTGAATTAACATAAGCAAAACATTAAAATTTCTAATGTAAAGCTGCCTTCAGCCAATATCGTTACTCAAAAATCAGCAACTCTCAAGACTAATAGTTTTCATTGATAGAATATTTTTAAGTTAATAAATCTTTCTTGAAATTGTAAACTTTTTGTAAATTGTAAATTGTAAACTTCTTAGAAAATTTTCACCTTTTTTTTGACTGTCAAATATTAGGGAAGATTTGGGGTAAATAAAAATTGTTGGCGAAATTCCCTATCTAGAAAAGCAACAAACAAGTTTTATTGATAACAGAATTATCTAAATGTCCATGCTTCTTGCATTTCCACTTCCTCTAACCTGTTTAAGTTCCAAATCTCTTCAGTCAACTGTTAATTTATGTATATGAATAATAAGTAATGCCACTACAGAAATGCTTGTCACAGGTAGGGGCAAACAGACAAACAGCAGTAACAAGTGACAGGATGGGAGGAAATGGCCTCAAGTTGTCTCCTTATCTAGAAAAGCAACAAACAAGTTCTATTGATAACAGAATTATCTCAATGTCCATGCTTCTAGCATTTCCACTTCCTCTAAACTGTTTAAGTTCCAAATCTCTTCAGTCAACTGTTAATTTATGTATATGAATAAGAAGTAATGCCACTACAGAAATGCTTGTCACAGGTAGGGGCAAACAGACAAACAGCAGTAACAAGTGACAGGATGGGAGGAAATGGCCTCAAGTTGTGCCAGGGGAGGTTTAGATTGGATATTAGGAAAAAATTCTTCACCACAAGGGTTGTAAGGCATTGGAACAGGCTGCCCAGGAAAGTGGTTGAGTCACCATCCCTGGAGGTATTTAAAGGACGTGTAGATCGAGTGCTGAGGGACATGGGTAAGAGGTGGACTTTGCCGTGTTAGGTTTACGATTAGACTCAATGATCTTAAGGATCTTTTCCAACCTAAATTGATTCTATTCTGTGATTCTAATCTATGATTCTAATCAAAAGAGATGGCTACTTTTACACTGTAAAGAAATAATACCAAAGGTTGGGTTTGGTTTTTTTTTCCTACTCAATTGTCACACCTAGGGAATGAATTCTGCATGTTGTCACTTGGAGATGCAGCACTTCAATACTCCATGTCATCCTGAAAACTGCATCCTGGCATTGAAGATTTCAGTGCTGTTCTTACTAAAGATTCCCCCTGAAACTGTGACAGTCACACCACATGCGTATGGAAAACAAGGTGTTGCCTCACTTTCAAAGCTTTTGCAGCATCTTGACTGTGAGAACAAAGAGAAATCATTTCATGTTTCACAAGAAAACAGCTAATATCAGGGACCAATTGTTAAGTATCCCACTATTTTATCTTTTAAAAATAAATCTGCTGTTTTTTAATACATCTGCAAATATTCAGAAGTATTAAGGACCCATTTCTGTAGCCACTCAGCAGGCAAAACTTCCAGTGAAATCAAGTGATTCTATGCAGAGACTTAAAAGAGTTGGTGGGGTGTTTCCTGCTACTATAACTGCTAGATAATGAAATTTAACTGCAATAATCTCAATCCATTAGTCTGAACAGGTCAGCTCTTGCAGGTAATATCATAAAGATATAAAAGTAAGGTATTTCATGTTCTCAATAATAAGAAAAATCAAGAAAACAGACCAATGAGTTCCCTTGTTTTGGCCTCAATCTCTCCCAAAAGAATCTCAGGATTGGCACAGATTTTCTCTTCATCAGCACAATAACTCTCTAAAAATTTCCTATATTCTGGATCTGTGAAGAAAAATTATTGAATTATGTTAATACTTTGCAATGCATGACAGAAATGGAATCTATTTTCCACTGTGATGCCAATAAAATATGTTTACCGTCTTCAATGCTCCCGGCTTTAGCATCTTTCTTCTTCAGCTTCTTTTTTGAAATCTTCTGGAATGGAGCAAACTCAACCACTGCAGGATACTCCAAACCTTAAAAAAGATCAATGCTTAATTTTTGAAGGGAGAGAAACATTCCCTACATTCAAGTGAGATCTTCAAAACGCTTGAAACTTGGGCAGTTGGGCAGTCTTACTTGAAATCATAAGTGAATGTTTCTACAATCCCACCCTAAACTTCTAATGAAAAATTATATGTAGCAGTATTTTAGACTCAAAACAAAATACATTTATATTCTAGTTATATATAAACATTAAATACTTTTTAGACATGCTAACAAAGACTGTCAAAATGAAGATGACTACTATTGCACAATAAAATTCTTGCATTAACATTTATAATTCCCTTTTAATTCTTCACAGATATTCATTGATTAGAAAAAATTATACAAAACCTCAGCCTGACAAGCAATAAGCACCACTTGGCAATGAATCTGTAAAGTTTTGTTGCCAAAATGCTTAAAAAAAAATAATGCTGCGTAATATGCAATAATAAAACATACCATTTTCTTTCAGAACCAAAACTGCAAAACTCAGCATGTAGAATTCAGTGAAACTTCTTTTTTTTTCTGTTTATGATGGATTACGCAGCTTCTTGCCTGTGTTTACTGGCATGGATTTTTTGTTTTGAATTCTGCCTTAAATACTGGATACTTTTTTGGACTGGACTCAGTACCATGTGTAGCTTTGGAATTTTACCTAGTTTCCTCTTGCAGGAGGTTCAAGATTACACTTTGCTCAAGTCCACTGAAAACCTGGCTTCTATCTGCTAGAACATTTGTTAACCTTCTTGAACCTAGTCATCCCTGCTTTAATTCTAGCCTCATAAAGGCAATGCCACCACAAGCCTCACCAGAGGGCACCTTTCATCAAAACTTGCGCTCTATTTGCACAACCAACCATGTCAAACTGTCCAAGCTTATTTTTGCAATGTACAGAATATTCTGGCTTCAGTCCAGCTAACGCTGAAAGATGTGCTTAATTTAGGCAAAGTGAAGCCTTGGCAGAATCACAAAAACAGTTTCTTTCTAGTTTTTCATCTAAAAGACCCAGAATTTGAAATCTTGGAATCACACACTGCAAGGAATGCATTTCTCTAGGAAAATCCATCCAAATCTGATTAATTTAGAAGCCTATAAAATATCTCGGGGAGGAAATGCTGAAGAGGAATTTTTTAGTTTGACAGACAGCTCCTTTGGAGATCAACTCTCCAGTAAGAGTGGACAGGACTACTTTTTGCAGGATCTCTGCAACACCGAGTGTACAGAACAGACAGTGTCTATGCAAGAAACCAACAAATCTATGTCTGTTTTATACAACCCATGCAATTTTTTAGAGAAGGTATGAGTGAATGAGGAAAGGAACTGCTACAGGGAAAGCACCATTTCTTGGCTATGACAGTTTCATGCTATATCTACATTACAGTTTTTCTTTACTGTAGGGCAACCTTTTGCAGACTGAACATTTTAAAGATGGAAACCAATTTTGTCACTTTTGTTCTTGGAACTCAAATCAAGATGTCTGCAAATGCTCTAAAAAGTCAAGCTGTGCATATCTCAAAGTGGGCAACTAAAATGATGAAGTCGAGTTTTTGTCTTGCTTTTTCAAAATGGGAGTAAGTGGCACAACTTTCTCTCACAGAAACTCACTGAAAACGTAACGATTCATGTTTGCAATGTGTTCAGTTACTGCTGGGATGAATTGTGAAACTTGCATAAGATAATTATCTTAACAGGACCTTTATAGTGTATTGCGTAGGGTATGAAAATACACATAAAGCATGCACACCACATAGACAAGCAAGACTGCATGGACAAATATATTTTGCACTTCATTATCTCTTAAGTGCTAGATTTCAACAGACTTTTATGTAATTAACTATATATTGAGAAAAAAATCACCTGGCAAAATTACCACAAGGGGAAGTAAATAATGTTCTAAAATGGTATATGTATCTATACACACTTAGTATCTTACAAATTAGTCCAACCTTTACTGTCAATGAAGACATAGCCATCAAAGCGATCTCTAAAAAGAAGGATGTCCTCAGGATTTCTAAAGTTAATGTATGCTCTTGAGTAGAGATGAGGATAAAGGCTGCAACAAGAAACAATCGTATTTTCTGTTATTTACTATTCTGTTCCAGACTATAAAAGTAAAACTAGAAGGATCACACTGCAATTCTCATCGTCTTTGAGAAATGGCTACCCTAAACATGCATATCAAAGTGTTTACCTGTACATATCTAATTACAAATATGACAAAAAACAGCTGAACAACCAAGTTCTTGGATGCAACTGTGAAATTTATTCTGAACTGAAACAAATATTGCTAGTTTGTTGTGTCTCCCAAAATTGCAAAGCATATGCTTCCACTGTGCAAGATCAAAGCTTTAAGCCTAGTATTTAATGATTTAAGAGGTATGAATAACAGCAGTGCTTTTGGGGAACTTCTTGGTCATGCTAAGAAAGGCTTCTGTTGCTGAAACAGAAGGTAAGTAAAAGCTCCCAGTGAAAGGGCAGTTGCCAAGCTGTCACTGTATTTAAAAAGATTTCCACCTTTAAGAAAACTTAAATAGCCTAATAATTGGCAAGGTAATCCACTGAATTATATACAAATAAATAAACTCCATGTGATATACATGTGTATCAATATATATGCAAAATGTAGTTGTGAAGAACAATTACTGTGAAAATCCAAAGCAGTTCTAGCAAGAGAAAGAACAGGTACTTACCTAAAAGACAGATTCCACTGCAAGGGTAAACGTTTAATGTGTCAAATAAAAACTTCAGGGTTGGCACACCACCAACCACAATGAAACTGAGGTGATTCAATGAATTTCCACCCATCAGCTAAGTTATTTTGAGTCATGGCAAACACATGCTTTAAACCCTGCAACTGTGATATAAATCAGTCTGGCTTCAACTGCCTTCAGTGATGGCCATGCATTACGCCAGGTTTTCTGAATGTATCTGAACACAAGCCCATAACTTCAAAATACCTATGTTCATAATACTGTTGCCACACATGGCCTGTCTTCAAACTCACCACCAGCAGCAGGAGACAATAAACACACACAGTTGCAACTGTATTTCAATCTCATAGCTATTTCAGAATCAGATTTCACAATGAGTGAGAAAGAGAGAAAAAAAAAGGGTTGGATCACAGGATATACGTGGCAGCCCAAAGCAACACAGTCATAACAAACCAAACAATTTTTTCTTTTTCAAATGTGCATCCACATGGATTCCACTTTGGGTGTTTGAAGGTGACCATAAAAAGCAGTGCTGACAATAACAAACCAATGATTTTCTAAACCCATCAAATCTGTGTTTGAAATTGTAGCCAGGAGAAATGTTTGAAAAAAAAACAGAGGACTTTTTGCATTTAGATGTTTTGAAAATATCTGCTATGGAATGTTTCTACAGCATGCAGAGGACAAACCTTCTCATTCTAAAGAAGAGCTATCTCATCCATACATACTCACTGTATGTTGATATTCTAGGATGGGAAGAGCATTCAGTGAACTGTAAGCAGGCAACCACAAAAATGCCTGTTAGGGCATGGCTAGGGCTATGCTGCTGGCAGGAAGCAGTGCTGAAAGACACTACAGCCTATAAAGATGCCACACAGCTATGGACCATTTGCAAGCCACCTCTAGAACAGCTTGACCAAATGAACATGGTGGCACGTGGGTTGTGTTTTGTCATGGGGTTCTGCAAACCTCGAAGAATCCTCTGTGATCAGATTTGCAAACCTCCAGTCTGCACGTGCAACACAAGGTATCTCGAGGGTGGCTGTGGAGTGACTACCAAGATGCAAAAGCAGCAGACAAAACAAGCTAGCTTCCTTCTCATCAGTTTTAAAGGAAAAAAAAATAAATGTAAAACTTTTCATAATTACATACAGTTAAAAAAAAATATATTTTAAAAAGGTTGTAAAGGAGGAAATTTTATTGTGGCAATCTATAGCTGTGCTGGACGAAATGTCTGTGTGCTGCCTAATGGCTGGAACAGTGAAGAAGTCTCTGATAACTAGTGGAAGGAAGGGTAACTACTGGAAGGAAGTAAACTTCCCTCTCTGTCATGAAATAGTAAAAGGACATGTCAATAGTAACAGGACTATTGCTACATTTCATGTTCCTTGACATTTAAATTAAATGAGGCCTGATACTACAGACTGATGCGATTACACACTTGAAATGCTGAAGATTCACAAGAGAAAACCAGGAATCTGAAGGAAGTGCTATTTTTCAGCCAACTTATTATTATCTGAGATTGAGAAACCGAGTTTCGGTTCCTAGTCTAAACAACTATTTCAGTGTTTTATCCATCTTTAGTTTTTTGTAAAATATTAAGACTTTCCATAGATCGGACTGGGAGACAGGTAAGTGTCCCAGCCGCTACATTATTGTGGCACTTCTCTGTCTCAGTGCACAGCAAACATCATATAGTTGGATTTTATTTTTTTTCTGCAGTAACTTTGAACCTTATGGCTGGACACATAACCGTCATGAAACAGAACTGAAAATACAAAGACTTATTCCTTCCTTGCTTCCTTTAGCTTGTACACCAACGCCATCTGTTTCGTCTGCTTTGGCAACACAATCTTTTCCTGGTACACGATATAATAATTTTTTAACATTTTCAGTTTAGGCTTATCAGAGTGAGTATCTTTGGAAACAGAGAAACATTTTGGAGATTAGGAGAGGGTTCTTTACTGTGAGGGTGGTGGAGCACTGGAACAGGTTGCCCAGGGAGGTGGTTGAGGCCCCTTCCCTGGAGATATTCAAGGAGAGGCTCGACGAGGCCCTGGGCAACCTGGTCTAGTTGGGGGTGTCCCTGCTGACTGCGGGGAGGTTGGACTAGATGACCTTTGGAGGTCCCTTCCGGCCTGGGCAATTCTATGATTCTATGATTTTATAGGGTTATTAAGCATTTATTAGTAAGTAACCAACTCTGTAGAAGTGGCTCCATGAGAGAAGGATCCTGTAATTGTTAAGCATTGTCACAGCCATGTTTCTACAACCTTCTACCCCGATACATAGCAACAGTCATGGACAGACAGTCCTATTTTATTGTGCTACTGTGTGCACATCAATATCCTACTGTGCACAAACATGCTTTTGTTCTGCTGGATCTCTTATTTGCAAGGTAAATTCTAAATCTCTGCTTTCCAGACTGCCATTTATACATTCCAGGCTCAGTCTCTTACTCTGATTTTCAGACACCTGACTTCCAACTGCTCCTCCCCTCCCTGGATTCCCTCTTCACCTCTCCACTGACAACTCCTCAGGGTGACCATGCATCAAAGGAATCATGAGGCTTCACAGGGCCACAAGCACTCTGTGGATAATACCCTCTCCCAGAAAGAAACACTCCTGCTCTACTTTTGTACTTTGTATTCAGCAGTTATTAGATAAAATACAGCGTTTGCTTTTCAGGATTTTGCCTTCCAGCTGAATCCCACAGAATGGCCACTGGATTCCCTGTGCCTCCTCCTTTTTTTCAAGTATCTACCAGCATAGATTTCATTCAGGATTTGAAATTCACTTTTGAGGCTGCACAGTTAGTTTTATAATCAGACAGCTGGTTCTATTTTGCCATATGTTTGCTGTCTATAATGCTGCTTTCCACCCGTACCATGTTTTGGACAGATGCACTGCACATGTTGGCATCTCTGAGACATCACTTAGAGCAATCTCCATGGGAATAACCCAGACGAGTCTGACTGTACACAGTTCCTTGGAGTGTAACACACTGTTTCTTTGTTTTCTGCTGTGGATTCAAGGGTATCCAGTCTTCTAGGTTATGTATATTTCTGTAATACTTAGTCTATCATCTCTTCAAGCCCTTACTTTTATAGTTATTTTAATAATAAATACATTTATTTCTTCTACAAAGTACCTTTTAACACAACTGTGCAAAAAGACTGGCATACAGGAAAGGAATTTTAAATAGTTATATATAATGAAAACAACATGTAAACTATAAAAACAAGCATCACATCTTAGGAAAAATACTTATCAACTTATTAGTCATGATGTGTATGTATATATACGAACATATATATTTACATGTATATATAGATCTCTACATCTAAATATTGGAGTGTTAAATAAAATCCTCCATCCATTCATAAATTGCATAATAATGTTTGATCAAACTGATAACTCATCATCTACATCGTCACATCAAGCTAAAATCCACTGGCCTTTATCCTTTTGTCTCTCAACCTTCTGTGGTAATTCACAGCGGAATGAACTGGCATAATTTTAAATTAACTCAGCCTTTCCTTTTACAGATATAAATGAGCACAATTTGCCCAGCAGAAGAGAAGCAGAAACACTATGCAATTGTGATGACAGACTCACTCCATCCAGAACATACTAGGGGTGGCTCCCTTGAAGCTCTAAAGACACTGCCCCTTCAGGGGTGCAGTTCCTGTGTGCATAGTACTGTCTTGCAGCATTAATGCCATTTGCCTGCAATAATGCTGAGTAAAATGTCAGGAAGCAGTTATGAAAACAAGGAGTTCTGTTTGCAAGAAGCTTTATCGCTGCCCGTGACACATGGCATGGCATCGACTACTTGACTGGCTTTAGCATTCAGTGCCAGTCCCAAGGGATGACTCAAATCCTGTAAGGCCACAGCTCAATCACTTGACTCAAGTTTTAGAAGACTCAGAAACATGTACATGCAGACAAAAAAAGAGTGTCTGGAAAAAGTAGTATTTGGAGTCTGAGAACAAGATAGACTGTCAGAAAGGCAGAGTCTTCATTATCAGCTACAACAAACATCCCAAAAGGCCGCAGAATCAGTCACAGGAACAGCATTTTGATGTTAACGTACAAAAGAGAATAAACGTAATGTAGTGAATCAGATGAATCTGAAAAAATGAACAAAACACAATGCAACAGTCATTTTCTGAAATGATTTTACTGAAATGGATGCAATTGAACAAGTGTTACAAAATAATGACATTACTGAATCCAACGAAATTTTAAGAAGTTTTATAGCTTGCCTGTAGTAAGACATTGAAAACTTAAAGACAATCTTTAGACTGCAAAAACAGAGAAAGGAGTTGATATGCACATCTTGTTTGTTTTGTCCTCTAGGGTGAGATGACCTTGGAAATAAAAATGTAGAAAGAGCTGTAGTTAGCCCTCTCTAGTCCTCTCTCCAACAGCAACTAGTACAGAATGATTAGAAAGTTTATTAAAAAGGAGAAGCTACACACCGACACTTCACCTACTATATCATTTTGGCTACTTGCAGCCTAGGAACTTTGTAATGCAAGCTTGTATCCTTGTGTTTAATGAGTTTTCATAGATAAATATTTGTCTAAATAAGTGTTTGTCTAACTGCTCCTGAAAAGTTTCTGGCATTAATTTCTGACAAGGGGTTCTATAGTTAAACAGAGCGTTTTGTGGAAAAAAAAAAAGAGTCTGTACCCCAGCTGAAGAAATCTGGATGTGCTCTTAGAAACTTCTGTTATCTAGAGTTATGCAGGATGGGGTTAAACCGAGATTTTACAGCTTTTAAGGCAAATCTGCCTGCTTCTGCATCAAAACATTTGTATGCCCATTTCTCTTTCCAACAAACAGATCCTCTTCACTGAGCAGCTTCTCCAAATTATTCTTGTTAGGTAACATGACATTTGCTTTTTATCTTCCCATGTTTTTGTCATCACTGAATTCTTTGGATTGGGTACCACTATGCACATGGTACAGGATAGAGAAAAGCTGATCAAAGACAGAAGGCACTTTAGAGAGAACATACCCACTTTGCTCTGTAGCTCTTCCTGACAGCTGGAATGGCACGAAGACACATCCAGAAGGGTTTTCCTGAAATTCTGTGAACTGTCCATAACAGGACCGATTACTGCAGCACCATTTTTTATACTCAGCAGAGGATATCCTTATCTCCACTGGGTAAGAGGAGACTAAGACTCACTGTATTAATCTTGTCTCTAGTTTACAATTTCTGAAAGTTTACTGTATATTCTAGAGTGTGTGAACATGTAAAGAGTTAAATCATAAACAGATGTACACGGGTACGTGTCAGCATTCAAACAAAGGGAGCAAAGCGAGCCCAGGCCATTCAAAGAACAAATAACCAGTCAAGACAATACTCTGTACAACTGCAGCTAAATGCCTGTTTAAACTTCGTAGTTTGCTGAAAAAAGTTGTAGCCATCCAAACTTTGTAACGACAAATCCATTCTGAAAAAGTGCATCTTTTGTACGAAAGCATAATTTTTAAGAAGCAAGATGAAGTAAAAAAAAAAAGTGAATATAAAACAGGTCATGCTGAAAAATTTAAACTTGTATGAAAATACTGTTTTCCAGAGAGTTTAAATTTGCGAAGGCAGAAGAAAACAGGAATCTGAAAGTGAGGAGGAAGAGTTTTCTCCCCGACCATTACTTTATTACAAGGCTCAAGGAAACTGACAATCCAAGTAACATGTACCAGAGATGTTACTGTTCCAAAAAAAAAGGTTGGAAAAACGTGTTTCTTTGCTTGCTGCACCTTCAAGTCTAGTAGCAAAACAATGTAAGAAATACAGCTTTATTTACATCACTTCTTGTTATTTTTAATCACTAAGATCTGCTCTTCAAGGCAAACGAACACTGAAATTGTGTTAAGCCTGTCCTTATCCCTCTACCAGAATGAACTACTATCATATATGTGATCTAACAAACTTTTATATATATATGTATGTTCTATCCCTAGCTACATGAAAGTGCATGATGAATAACACAGCATGAGAGAAAAAACACAGTACCTTTCAGGAGTGACATGGATACAATTAAATGAATGGACAGCATTTTGAGTACTCCAAATTTCATCACATAAAAGCGGACAGAAAAATGAAATTTTATACGTACAACTGTTGTCAGTGTCTTATCTTTTCTAAGATGTCTGACTCCCTAAATTCTTGTGCCAAAAATTGTTCTAGAACATCGAAATCATAATTTTTTTAAATGCTTCCTGGCATTTGTGCAGCTAAACACACTAAAGACAGAGACACTCTTCTTCACAGAATTTTTGGTTTGCCTCTGGTATTTCCCCCTTATCAGATAAATAGCTGGAACAGAAGCCTTAAAGAGACACATTTGCAAATAAGGATGATGAGATTCAGAAGAAAAACGTAACAACAAAGACTTTCAAGTAGACTAAACTCTCCTCTTTCCTAATTTCACATCCCTTGTAGTTCTGCCAGAAAAGCTGAAGCTTTAGTTTTTCAGAACACATGCAGATGTAGCATACAGGGTATTTTGTTTATTTTAATGGTTAAGTTCCTTCTCTTATGGATGTTGTTTTGTTTGAAAAAGAATTGTATTTTACCACTGTGATACTGGGTAAATCATATAAATGTAATAGCAAGTCTGATCCATTTTAAATCAACCACTATCTCTTTTTTTTTTTTAGTTTTGAATGAGACAAAAGTGAATAGAACTGGATTATTTGAAAAACTGTATGCAATAAATACAAAAACATGTAAGTAAACAAAGAAACTAAGCTCAAATGGCACCAATGAAAAAACTTTTGTGGTATTTGCTCTCGGTTGACTCTTTATGATAAACAGCCTGTTGCATTTTACTAGTGAAACTTAAAAGAAATATCAGGGTTTCAAATAAAATTATATCTTATTCATACACAAAAAAATTCTTTTTAAAATCACTGGTGTAAAAGAAAAGGGAGGGAATGCATTGCCTCTGCATATGTATCCAGGTTTTCACAAATATTTTAAGTAACTAACAAAACTAACAAAAAGGGCTTGATGGGAAAAATACATTATTCGGTATAACCAAAATACCTTAATTAGGTCTTAAGCACCTGAAAACCTACACAAACTGCTCATCCTCACCTGGGATCAGCAGTGCAAAACTCAAAATAATCATGAGCAGGTAGAGGATGTAGCTGTTCCTCCAGTTGCTCCTTGGTTAGACAAGGAGGAAGCCGTCGAATAACTACCTGCATACATAAAAGAAAACAGAGATTTAACTTTGATCTGAATGCTGTAGAAAGAGACTCAACAAATCATATTACTCTAAAAGCTCTTCCTCAAATTGGGAACTTCAACTGGAGCATTACCCCCCTAGTGATTCACCTTCTTGGACTTGCTGACAGATGGAACAATTTCCCTATCTCGGTTTCTGCTAACATTGCAAAATGATAGGGTAACTGAAATATTCTGATGAAGAGCTCGAGACCCATTGCAATTTAGCCAATAACAAAATATTTTAACGACTAAAAAACAGATATTGACTACACAAAATTTTTACAGTATCTCTTTTTAAAATTATTTAAACTAAATTTTAAGTCTCTTATTACAACAGCATCTTAGTGTATTAGGTTCATGTGCCCAGGTGCTGGCAGCACAGGCTCCAGGGCAGCCTCTGCCCTGTGCCAGACACAGCCAGTTTCCAGCCAGCTCCAATGAACCCACCACAGGGCACAGCTGAGCCCCGCAGCCAAGACAGTGGCACCTGTGAGAAAAGGTATTCAAGAAAGGACAGGAAAGGCTGCACAACAGACAAAGGAGTAAGGAGAAGAAAGGAATGAGAAACAGCCCTGCAGACACCAAGGTGAAAGAAGAAGGAGGGGAGGTGGTGCTCCAGCTGCTGGAGCAGAGATGCAGAGATTCCCTTGGAGGAGACCATGGCGAGTCAGGCTGCCCTCTTGCCTGAAGGAAGCTGCAGCCCAGCGAGAGGCCACGCTGGAGCAGGTTTATCTGGAGGACTGCAGCCCATGGAGAAGACCCACCCTGCAGCAGCTCATGAACAACCGCAAGATTTGGGAGGGACTCCTGCTGGAGCAGTTCATGAAGGGCTGTACCCCACAGCAGGCACCTTACACTGGAGCAGGGGAAGAGTGTGATGAGGAAGAAGCAGCAAAGAGGAGTTGCTATGTCCTGTCTGCAACCCCTATTCCACATCCCCCTGCACTGCTTGAGGGCAGGGGAAGTAGGGCCTGGGAGGGAAGGGGGGAGGACACTCACTCTCACTTTATTCTTTTTAAATTAGCAATAAAGTAGATTAATTTTCTCCAAGTTGTGTCTGTTTCGCCTGTGATGGCAATTTGTAAGTTATCTCCCTGTCATTATCTGAGACCAGCAAGTTTTCCATCTTATTTTCTTCCCCTGTCCTGCTGAGGAAGAAGTGAGAGAGTGGCTGGTGGTTGTGGGGGTGTCTGGCAGCCACCCAAAGCCAACCTGCCACACTCAGGTAAACTGGCCAGTAAAAAAGGCTGGGAAACCATACGGAAACCTTTGGGACTGAATGATGCCAGCACTCAAAGTAGTAAAATGGCCATCAAGCTTCAGACAATCTATTTCCATTTCTTGCCAATATCTGCATATAAGTGGCTTAACTTTAAGTTATAGTGGTTTTCCGTGCTTCAGCTTCCCAATTTAGAAAATGGGAATAAATCAAGTTATCAAAGTACTTTATTTATATAAGTATTCTTCGAAAAGTGCTCAAAGCCAGGGAGGGAGAAGTGCTCATGTCCCTGCTGGAGCTGCTTTGCCACAGCAGCATCCAACCTTGGGTTTCTGGGGAACGGAAGGTTAAAAGGCCGGCAAACCCCCAGACCCTGCTGCTGGGCACCGCGAAACGCTCCAGCGAACAAACCCCCTCATTCTGCAGAAACACCCGCTTGAGGACCACAGCCTCCTGAAAGGAGACTCGGTCCCTGGAACGTGGCCTAGTGGGAGGAGGTGTGGGTAGGGGGGTGGTGGTGGGGAGTTGGAACCCGATGGCCTTTAAGGTCCCTTCCATCTCCAACCGTTCTGTGAACAGGGCCTACCTGCCCCATGCTCCTCACTGATCCCCTGACATCTCCCACCACAGCCCTCACCGGCCCCATCCCCGCCTCACATCCCCCTCCCCGTCACGCCCCCCCGCCCCCGGCTGCGCTCGCGCCCCCTCACTTTGCTCAGGGCCGTTTTTTTCTCCTCGCGCTGTTTCCCCGGCGCCGGGTGAAGCGGCGGCGGCGGCAGCGGGGAGGGGGGGGAAGAAGTAGGCGGCGGCGGCGGCGGCGGGTTTGGCGAAGGGTCCGGGTCGCGGCGAGGCGACTCCCGTCGCAGCGGGATATCCGTGGGCCACTGGTCACGGCCGCCGCCCCGCATCGGCCCCGGCCCGGCCTCCCGCTCCGACCGCATGGAGCCGCCGCCGCTGCCGCCCGCAGCCGGGCACGAAATCTCGCGTAAACTGGCCGTTGGCCTGGCGGGATCTCGCGAGAGTTGGGGGAGTGGTTGAGGGGGGGTCCTCCGCTCCAACCCGTCAGCGGTGGAGGCTGAGGGGAGGCGGTGGAGCCCCTCGTCCCCAGCCTCCCTGATGGCGGGGGCAGACTGTCAGGGAGCTCAGAGTTGGAGCTGTGCTGGTTGGCAGGGGAGGGGAGGGAAATGTGTCCGTTTCCCTTCCCTGGTGGCCCCCCAGCACCTGGTAGCCTTGAGACCTTCTGCTGTGGCCTTGCCTCAGCCCCCTACGGCAGGGTGGGCACAGCCGCCTCAGGGATGTGGCGGCTGAAAGCTAGCCAGGTCCTGGGGAGAAAACGGTGGGAAAAGAGGCCATTGCTCATTACTTACATCAGATCATGAGTCTTGGGCTGCGGGGAGCATCTTGTCAGCCCAGCAGAGCAGGGTCAGCGCCAGCCTCAGCTTCCCAGGCTGTGCAGGAAACCTAAGAGTTTTTCTGGTGGGTGTCTCCCTGCCTTTCTGACTGCCCCCCCCAAATTCAACTGCTGTTTTCCTGCCACAAAGCCTCACATCTTACTGTCTTCTGCTTTTGTGAAGTACTGGGAGATGGCATCTGGTTTATCCTAACGTATAAGCGAAACACATTGAATACGGACGTAGAATGGTTTTAGAGTTGGACTGTCCCACAGTCCAGTCTCTGGCAGTGACAAGTTCCTGAGAAGGGCACCAGCAATGAGCAGAATAAGGACAAGAACGTGGGAAGTATGTAGTGATACAGCTTCAGAATAAGCTCTCACCTGCAGAGTGTCCCTGAATTGTGTCCCCCAGGGGAAATTGGTCTTCCAGGTGGCTGGTCTGGAAGTACTGATCCATCAATCAGATCAAGGCTTATTCAGCCTTAGGTTGCAATCGACACATTTTGCAATGTCAAGGTCCAAAAAGTTTCTTGAAATTCCTGGGTGAGCTCTAACCTAATTGTAGCTGCCTCAAGGGCTGGGAGCCAAGCCAAGTCAGCTCAAGAATTCCTCTGACATCCAGGAAAAGTCATTCACAATCTAGAAATATGGTTCTTTCTAGGTAACTTTAAATACCAATAAAATGAAGGACAGCAACAGCCAGCCAAAAAACCTCGAGCAGATACCTGCCAAAGCCCAGCATCATGATATGCTGCCTTTATAGCAATGCCTGTTCTCACTATTCCATCCGTTTCTTCCCACCCCTACCACTCTGTCCTACTGACTACGCCAACACAGCAGCAGTTTGCTGGCTTTGAACCTGAGAATTGGCCAGATGATAAAGATTTTTAAATGCTGGAACAGTTCCCTGATTTGGTTCACAACATAACCACATAAAACATTTGTATTAACACAACTGAGGACGTAGCACGGGGGTTAAGTGGGCAGGGCAGGCATACTACAAACCAGTACTGTTACCAGAGCTGGCATACCATCAGATCATAACTGGACAACACAGGAAGAAATACTAACTTTTATCAATCTTCTACGTTATTTTGTCAGTGAAAATAGTAATAACATAGAAAAAGGAAACAATCCAAGGCTTGTATCCATGCCTGGTATTAGACAAAAGGCCTGATTTGCTGGAAGACTTTTTTTGCCTGTCTCCATGTAGAAATTGCCATAATGTCCTACTAGAAAACTAGATTTACCTATGCTGGATTAAAAAAAAAATAATAAGGATATTATAAAGAAAAGGTTGTTGAGCTCTTTGAGAATCTGTGGTGATAGCTACCTGGCTGCTCTGTGTGCAGCAAGAAACCTTTGCTGTCACTTCATCCATGAGATGGTCTTCTTGGTTACAATCATCCAGGATATATAAGTGCAGATGTAAAAATAGCTCCTAAAAGATCCTTTAAAGGATACAGCAGCTGTTGAGACCCACTCCTTATAGGGTCTTAACTGGCCAGAGTCTTGTAGTGTGCCCAGGAAAAATCTCTGGTTTACCTCTAACATAAGAAGTCACCTGAACTACACGCAAACTGCCAGATGCCAAAGGAAAAAAAAACAAAACTCTATGAACTTTTTACCCAGCCACGCTGAAGTAAAGAGACCCGGCACCGGCCAAGAAACATGCACACTTCCCAAATGATTCATTTTTCCCACACTCTGCTTGGATAAAGACTTTTCCACTTAAGATTCATGGCTCACCCCATGTTTTTCAAGACAACATGCAACTTTGGGCAAAGTGCTTTAGAACTAAGAAGTAAGACATTTTCATTCACCTTACTTTCTAATGTCTAAGAAAATACGGGATTGGTATTGAGTTGAGACTTTTCCCTGAGCTTTTCCTCACTCAATACCCTTGAATTTTAAAGTGCAGGTGTGTCTCGGGAGGTCATGTTCAGTAACGCACAGACACGTGGAAAACAGCCCATACCCTGGATTCAAACTGTGTATGTGGCCTGCATTGACGTGATGAAGCCTCCCTGATGCAGATGGGATTCACAAGAGCGCTATCAGGACAAGAGGCAAAGAATGAAGACATCATCAGTCACAGCAAAAAAACCCATCTGAGCAGCGCAGCAAGCGAATAAGAAGGCAAAACAGAAGAAAATGGAATATTAGCATTTTGATTCATGAGCAGGTATCTCAGATTGGCTAGTGAGAAACAAAGGCCTTCTCACCTACCCATTTCTTCCACGTAGTGATGTCTACTAAGCGTATATTCCTTAGGACTCAAAACCTGGCCACTGAGAACTCAACAAGCCATGAGACAGATGAAGTGGGATGAGAAGTAGTAGTTTACTTTTTCCAGTTTATGTAAAACTCTATACAAAATTACACTCAAAAGATAACAGTATCAGCCCATCCTTTGATACTCATTCATTGGCAAAATTAAAAGTAAACATCTGTCCGTCCTAAAGTTAAAAGGACTATTAGATCAAAAAAAGATGGACTGCTGGAAAGCAAAAAGACAGCAAGGTTTCAGTACAAGTACTTGGATTCAGCCCTTGTCTCCTCTTAGTTACATAAAGTGCCAAAAAATGGTATAGAAAAGATTTCATGAATTGCGCTAATATGTCAGGTTTTTTTATACCCTGCCCCAATAAAGTAGATGAAAATGATATCACAACCAAACGTACATGTTTTATGTGAAAAGTATAATTGTAAACACGTTTAAATGTTAACACACATGTACTGAGATACAGTGCAGAAATTACATTTTAGACCAATGATTTTATTTTGCTGACTAAAACAAAATGTTTTTCTGTTTCATGAAATATCTGTCTACAGAAAAAAATGCTAGTTCTTGAGTTCTGAAGTACTTCACACTAAAGTCCGGACTGCTAAACTTTAGCAAATCTATTTTTAACAGTAAATGCCCCAACTTAGCTGCAAGTCACAGAAGAAAGTATGACAGCTTGTAGCGTTAAGTTTTTAATTTTAAGCCCCACACAGTGACAGATGTGGAAAAGGCAAGAAGAGCAGGGAAGGGAAAAATTTACACAAAATACGTTCAACACTCATGCTAAGAAGGCAAACAGACCTGTCCTGTTTAGTGCCTGGACAAATCACTGCTGCTGTTTCAGAAGCATACGCTTTACTTCTTCATTTTTCAGTGAAACAACGACATTTACAAATACCACACTTCAGAGACTTGTAAAAACCGTGTACGTGTATTATTCAGTTAATCCTTTGCATTGACAAAACACCTACGTGTGAAGTGAATGACTGTGGTCCCTACAGTAGCACGCTGTGGCTTACAACTTCATTGTAACACTAATTGCATGTAAGGCTGATTTATCTTAATGTTTACACCCTTCAAGTTTGTTGTCTAGTCAGCTTACCAAAAATGACTCTTAAATGACGTTTCAGTAATACAATAAGAGAATAATGATAAAGAACTGAAATTAATTAAAGTATAACATAGTAGCATGCTTTGTCATCAATTTAAAGCTTTGTCATCAATTTCATGTATGTCAAATGATGCAAAGCCACTGTAATTGCTACTTAAAAGAATACGCATTTAGTAAGTAGTAAGTATAAAACTTCATGGATTCTTTTGGTCTATTCACTAGGAAAGCATTCCTCACAGACAGGATGACAACTCAGAAGCCACAATAATACCACATTAGACTGGCTATTCAATTTTACAACATTGTTAACGGTTCCATGTCAAGTGCTATTTTTAAACCTTCACAGTCTTATTGATGGCAGACACATGGATCGGTAAACAATTTTTTAAAAAAGTGAATTTATTTTTTACTTCATCATGTATGATTAATTTTCTAGAAATAGTCCATCGTGTATACTTTTTAATCATCCTTAAGGCAAGCATTATTTCTCTGGTGTTAAGTACAGAGTAGTAGTTGAATTCATATAAAAATAGCAAATTCTTGAAAGTATAACACCATAACAAAAATGCTAAAACAAACAAATTACACTTAGACAAAACGAGCTCTCTGCCAGCATTTATGGTCACGTACTGTGGTCTGACATGGATGTTTCTAACATCATATCACTTTCATTCATTTCAATCTCAAAAGTTTCTTCCAATGGGCGGCTAGTATCTGTACTTTTCCTTTGATGTGACGTCTCTAATGTTACTATGCCACTTTCATCCAGGGTTTGTCTTTCTATGTCAAATTCTCTGAAATCCCAGGGAGGTGAAATGATGTTCTTTAATGTCTTCATTGTGTGTACATCAAAGTCATAACATCTTAATTTGTCTTTGATCTCTGTTCCTAGGAAAAAAAGTCAAACCGTGAGTTTATTCCAAGTGAACACTCTCATAAATGTATCTCAAAGAAAGTAACATCCAGAAGCTACTCGGATTCTCTGCTTTCAGACTAACAGGGAGCTGTCGCTGCTTAATGGCTGAATAGAGTTCTGAAAAAACCCAGCAGCCTCCTTTTTGAAAAAAGCATAATGTAAGAATTACAACTCAGATTCAAAGATCTGTTATGAGAAATAATTGCCAATTCCCTTCCCAATTCTCTAAGAGGCTTTTTTTTTGTTGTGTAA